ATTTTCTAATTATCTATTACAACTATATTGAAATAATGTATAAGAATTGAAATGGACTTGTTTTGTTTTTGTTAAGAGAAGAAATAAATTTGCTTAAGAAAATATTTTTAACCTTTTGGTTTTAAAAGAGATAAAATAAAGTATGTGAGTATAAAAATATTTTTTGTGTTTTTTATTATTGAAATTAAAATAAAATAATAAGAGGAAAAGGGGTTAGAATCAGCGCGTTGCTGAAATAAGAGGGAACATAAGTACTGACTCCGGTACACTGCAAGTCAGAAAGAAAATGTTAGCAGAAAAGGGGATGGTCAGAAGTTCTGGGTCCGCTGGGAACAAAGGAAATTCTAGAAGTTCTGATACAACTGGAAACCTAGAAGTTTTAATGTTACTAGAAGGTTGGAAGTTCTGGTTGCTAAGGGAGTTTGGAAATTCTGGATGTTGAGAGAGTTTGGAAGTTCTGATGTAGCTGGAAACCTAGAAGTTCTAGTGTCACTGGCAAGCTAGAAGTTATGATAATGGGTATGTGAGGTGTCTTATGCATACGCTCTCTACCACTGGGGTGACTATACATTCAGTATTATAAGCAAAAACATAAACATATATTACAAAGTAAACTCTGATGCTGAATTTCATCTCCTTCTCCATGCCAGCCAGAGCATCTGTAGCTTAGCCATTTCTCAACAAAACAGAAAATGCACACATAGCAGTTATGGCAGGTTTCATCATGGTTTCAGAAATATAAAGTACCAGAACTGTAAATCAGAAGCAAGCATGAATTTGCTAATCTTAATTCTGAATCCTAATTTCCTCAAGAAGTTCTGAACTGAAATTCTCTCTACTTAGGCAAAAAAATACATGAAATCTATGAATATGTACAGCATCAGAGTCAGAATGTCTACATTGTATTTTTGAACATGCAAGCCTATCAATGCCTAAGTAATTAGATAAAAGTCAGAAGAAACTTACCTTGCAGCTGCAAAATATTTTGTGTGCTAGAGCCTGGTTCTGATTACTGTGATGTTCTGGTCAACTCCTTCAAGTTCTCAGGAAGTTGAAGCAAACCTTAACTTTGAACTATGGATGGCTGGAAAGTTCTGGAACAGCCAAGAAGCAATGTTCCGATTTTTTTTGAGATGGAGATTGATGAAGACTGTGTTACAGTCTGAAAACAGAAGTTGGGACGGCTTCTAAATGTATATCAGAAGCTGTGTAGGTGATTTGGTTGGGAAATGCACCAGGAAAATTAGAGCTTGGATGCAAAAAACTAGAAATTAGCAGGTTTTGTATTTGTGTTTACAGTTTCAAGTTCTTTGAAATTTCAGAAAAGTTTCAAGGCTTTTCTCAAATTCTCGACCTCCTTAACAGTTGAAAATTAAGTTCAATTTATAGGCAAGGATTTAGTAGCTTGGAGAAGCCAAGAGTACAACCATCATATGCTAGGGTGCTGACTTGTTCTTGAAGCAAGTTTAAACGAGTACGATTCAAGGCACAAAGTAGGGTGGTTAGCAGCTTTAGCCGCGCTTAATCTAAATTTATAAGCATGAATTATGGAAAAGTATCCTCAGAAGCATAAGTAGAGCATGGGCCCATCATAAACTTGTATAAAAGTTTGCTTTTCAAGGACAACAATGGTACTTTTATGCAACACGTGGGGAAATCCTTTGGATAAAGACTCAAAAGTGGGTGTGAGCATTAAATGATGATGAGATTTATCAAAACATAAAACCTGCAATATGAGATTATGTATCATAGCTTAATCTGGATCAAAAGTTCAGCATCAGCGTAACTTAGAACAAATATTTCAACTTCTGATTTTTGAATCTCCCTGTTCTAGCATGTTCTGAAGGAGTTCTCAGACTTTTCAAGAAAGCTTGTAACGTGCTTTTCATACCTTCTTTGAATTTCTCTTGCAAATTCTGATTGAACCTTCGTGAAAACTGGTCCAAAAGTTCTAACCAAATTCTGTCTTGGAAAGGCCCCGAATTTACTGAGTGCTTCAGTTTCGTGGACACGTCTTCAAGGATTTATAACTTGGAATCCCAACATTTCTAGGAGAAGTTCTGTTCTACAATGTTTTAGATCTCATTGAGATCTACAACTCTTCTGTTAGAAGTTCTTCCAGAATCAACTTGCATCATGGTGAAAATCTGGCCAGAAATTCTGAACTTATCATATTTCCTAAACACTTAGAAAAATTTCTAAGTATTTAGAATTTTGACTTTTGATTTTCTTGATGAAACAAACTTCATATTCCAACATGTCTTGATGAAATATGATTCTTGAAATTTAATTTTGATCCAAAAGTCAAAGTTTGACTTTTCAGTGTGCAATTGACCATTTTGCCCTTGTCTCAATTCCAAACCTAAATTGATGTATCAGTGCTGCAAGCTTGATGTCGTGGGAGATCTTGTGAGAATCCTTGAGAAATGAGAGGGCAAATTTTAGGGTACGACACACATGCTTCTGATTTTTGTTTTTCTACAAATGCCTCGAATGTATTAAAAGCATCACATGCTTCTGATTTTTGTTTCAAGAAATACACCCAAGCTTTTCTGCTAAAATTATCAATAAAAGTAATAAAGTACTTACAACCACCAGGTGTTAGTATTTCCACTGAATATAAGTCTAAATGAATTATCTCTAGTAGCTTCTTCACTCGGCGAGATATTTCAGTTGAATCTTTATGCCTCTTTCCAATTTGACAAGTCTCACATACTCCATTTGAAATATTTAATACATGCAATCTAAAAACATATTCTTTTCTCGACAGGTAATTCAAGCCAAAAAAATAAAAGTGGCCAAATCTCATGTGCCACAACCAATCATCATTTGAAATGATAGAACTCAAGAAAGGAAATTTTTCATGTTGAATTTTCAAAGAAAATAGGTGGTTTAGTGTCATTCTTATCTTTGTGATAAATCTGTCATTTCTGGCAATCAACGTGCACAAACCATTGTGAATTTGTATGTTGTAACCTTTCTATGAAAATTGCCTCATACTCAATAGATTGTTATGAAGATCGGGAGAATAGAAAACATCACCAATAAAATTTTGAGATCCATCTTTCAACCTGATAAAAATTTGACATTTACCCAAAATTGAAACATTTGAATTGTTTTCAAACTTCACAGTAGTCTTTACCGTTTCGTTTAGAGAAGAAAATTATTTATTTTCCCCACACATAAGATTACTGCACCCAGTATTCAGATACTTTATATCATCTTCTTCAAAAAATATATTGTCAAAAATAAATTTTGGGGATTTTCACAGTATTCACCGGTATTTTGATACGAACTTTCTATCACATTTGCCTGATGTTTGTATCTACAATCAACTGCTTTGTGTCCAAACTTTCTATAGTGATAACAATTATAATTCATTCTTTCTCAATTGTAGTTACCTCTTCCTCTACCACGGTATGTAGATCCAAAGATATGACCGCCTCTTCCGTGATGCGCTGGATTGAAACCATTGAAGTTGTTGTCTCTTCATTGGTTAAAGTTGTCATGTCCTCTTCCTTGAAAGGTTCCTCGACTTCTACCTCTAAAATTTCCTATTCCACCATTGTTGAAATTTTCACCACCTCTACCTTCTCTTATTTGATTGGATTCAGCTACGTTGTTGAGATTCACTTGGCTTTTCAAAGCTTCTTCTTTTATTTTCTTTGTTTTTCCAATGTTCTATTGACATGACTTTCAATACTACTTTACAACTCGTCTGCAGACAAATTGTCGGTGTCATGGACTCAATTATTGTAGTCACCACATAGTCAAACTTCATCAACATCATACGTAAAAAAATTCTACCATTTTGCTATCAGAAATATCTTCTCCATATATTCTCATCTTGTTGACAATATTTATAACACGAGAAAAATATCGTTCTACTATTTCTGAATTAGACATTTTAGATCTTTCATATTCTTTAAGCAATGATTGTAATTTAGTCTTCTAAGCCTTCTCTACTCTTTTATTTGACAACTTCAATATATCCCACGCTTCTTTAGTAGTCTTGGCATTTGCTATTTTTTCAAATATTAAATAATTAGTTCCTTGATGATTTTGTGAGAGTGCCAACTGGTCTCTTTTACGAGCAACAGCATCAGCTCCTTTTTGTAAACCGAGATCCACAAAGCCTAAACATTGTGAGCTTTTAGATGTGTTGTCATCAAAATTCTCATTAACTAAAATCTAATTCTACAGTTAATTTTAGACCGAACCAGACAAATTTTGTAATTGTTTACCATATCTCTCTCACAAAAATACTCACAATAACTTTTAACCCAATGAAAACTCTTTTGTTTCCTCACACGTTCAAAAATATTTTTGACAAACATAACTTTAGAGTTAATTTAAATAATCAAGTTTACTGCTTAAATCTAAACATAGTTTTAAAGTCAATTTAAATAGTCAAATTTACTGCTTAAAACACAAAGTTTATCACAATAAACCTCTTATTCCACTATAAGATATTTTTATATCTAAAGATACGTTTGGGTATAAGCTACTTTGTTTTTAAAATGAATGTGTTTAAGGTTTTTGCACATAAGAGTAAGAAATGCAATAAAATTGTTGAAAGATTTTGCACTTTTATCATATTAATCTTATTAATGTGTAGTAGATTTTTAACAAAAATAAAATTAAGTTGTTTTCGTATAAGTTATTAGGTGTTTCCATAGGCTATTTTCATCAACATCATAACTTATTTTTACAAGTTGTCTCAAACGGTTTCTCAAAAGTTATGTGAATAGATAAATTATAATAGCCTTCAATGTATTACTATTACTTAAACTTTGACTTCCTCTTGTTCTTCTCATTTGTTAGTTTAATTGGTTAGTTAGTTAGTTAGTTTAATTGGTTGGTTAGGTTAGTTATACTTTATGTTTTTCTGTTATCAGTCCCTTTCATCTATAAAAAAGGGTGCTTCTTTGTATTAATATGATTCACTTTGAACTATTATTCACAAAAATTCTTCAAGAGTTCAAATCATTCTACTAGTTATGACGGTTGCTAGGTATACAAATTACATTACTTGTTTGTTTGTGTATCTTTCTTTTATATTCATCAATGTTGATTTATTGATATCTTTCAATATTCTGAAGGCACAAGAGCTGTATAAGATGCTTGAAGAGAATAGGAGAGTGGAAGAGTCTCAGAGAAGAGAAGTTCTAGAGCTCCAGCGGAAGGAGGAGGAGAAGCAAAGGGAATTACAGATGATTCGGAGACAGAAAGAAGAGTCTGAGAGTCAGAGAAAGAAACTCGAGGAGGAATAACACGCTTATCAGATCAATTCTTATGGGCAAGAACAAATCTAGGGCTAACTCATATGGTTTGTAATTACTATTAAGCAATGTCATTCTATACACGCAAACTTATCTGTACGAATTTACACTTGTTAGGAAACTGTGATATTGAATGAATGAAAATTTGATACTCAGAAAAATTTAAAATGTTACTTCTGTTTTGAGGTTCATTTGAATTGCATGACAAAATGGTCTTCTTCTTTCACTGGTTTTGAAAATTTCATTCTGCAGATACACTTACAAGAATGATATGTTAAGAGGGATATAGAATAACACAAGTCGGCGGAATAGTTTTCCCTGTTCCTTAAGAAGAGTGACACAAGTCATAATTTGAGCTTCATGTTCTTACAGGCTATATGTGACACTTGTTCATCCTAAAAACCACATTAAGCTTGGCAACAAGTTAAACCAGACAGATATAACACACCCATTTCTAACTAACCTACTTAAAATGCAGCCTTACATAACCATAGAAAACCAAACACAATAAATTATCATCCTTTCCTTTCCTAATGTTGTTGCAGTACATCCAAATCCAATGGAGCTCTCCATGGCAAGAACGCCCCTTCATCTGTTAAATTCTGATAACATACCACACAGCATATAGGTCATCAAACAAAGTGCACTAACATACAATCTCTAAACTAATACCAAAATGCAAGTATTTGAAGACAATAATTTTGATCCTATGATATACTCCAGTGACATTGTTACTAAAACATGTAGCGAGATGCTGAAGTATTACAAGATACTTACTGTCAACCAAAAGAAAAAGCCACGCAGGAGACGCAGAACTTTGGGAAGATTATCACCAGCTGCATCTATTTGCTTTGCAAGATCTAAAAACAAGAATCAAACATTACATAGTTGCAAATTTTCAAAATAAAAACCAACAGTCTCTCTCAATCAGGTAAAATTTTGCATCACATTTTCAAAGTGGTTTTTGCTCTATCACCATAAATCCTCATCAATCAAACACAATGAACTGATCCAAATTCAAAATATGAAAGAAAGATTAACTTCACATAAGCATAGAAAAATCCTACTTACCAAGGTTATGATCATGATAAGACTTTCCATCATGATCTCCCTCGTAGATTTTTTCAACCCCACGCAGAATTTTTTGCTTTTGAACCCGCTTTCGAAGATTAAACTCTTGCAACAGTCTGTTGCACTCTTCCTCACAGTAAGGCCTATTCACTTCATTCATTAGTCTTTCTCTAAACTCTGCACCTTTCCTTGATCTGACTTCATGATCCACATGCATCATGTCAATTTCTTCAACATCATCATCCTCGACATCATAATCTTGAATCTCATCTTTCACGGTTACTTCCATGCAAGATGGAGAATCATCTTGCTCACCTTTTTCAAGGCATGCACCTTTCACATTCTTTCTTCTGCGCCCTCTTTTAGATTTACCACCATTTTTAGCAGCAGGTCGTTTTACCGCACATTTCCGTTTCCTAGTCCTAACCTCATCCTCGTATTTCACCAAAACACCATCCTCAACGATGTCTAGTACATAAGATTTTCCATGAGGCTTGAAATAGTTGGATAAAAACCCATTTTGTTCTTCTTCTTCTTCATCTTCTGTGAGATTTTCTTCAGCATTGTTGTCTCTATTTTGGTCTTGAAGACCAAGGATATGAGATTGTACAATGCTGGCTGAACCCTCTGTGAACTGAACAAGTTCTGGGTCGGGTTTTGGATGCTTGATAACAAATTTGTGAAGAAGGTTTTTGAAGTAGTTGAACTTGTTTTGATTTTTATTTTGCGTGTTCTTGTATTTGAGGTAATCATGTAAATCATCTTCACGATCCCAACATTTTCTGAGTTTGTTTTTCTTTTTCGAAGTGAAAGGCATTGTGTTGTTATTATTTGAACCTTAGAGAAAGTGTTTTCTTACTGAAAAAACATACTAATAAGTTGAAGACAGAAAGTACTGTGTTTGATTGAATATGCATTGTTCGTCAGCTTGTGATGTTTGGAGATTCCCGAATGATGTTAGAATCTGACCGAGAGAGTTACTTTACTTTTACTTGGCGCCGTGTGTTTCGTTCACTTGTAAAAATAGTGAAAATAATTGTGACCAAACGGTCACAATTATTTTCACTGTGATTTCAATTCTCAATGCTGGAAATCATAGTTTCTTGGAGAAGTGTTTTTTCTTTTCACTCCATCGTGATTCCAAACTTATGCTAAGTGTACCATAATCAATTTTAGAGATATAGAATTGAGAATTTTTTTTTGGAATAACCATATTTTTAAAAAAAAATCATAAATAACCATGTTTCAGAAAAAAATTACGCAAATAACCATATTTCAGATGACTCTTCAAAGGAGGAGTCATCTCACTTGGCGCCTACACCTACTTTTTAAGGAGAGACGCCATCTCACTTGGCGCCTAGGTGCTTAAGGCTTGCCCTAAGCCAAGTGAGATGGCGCCTTAGTGCATTTGCTAGGACAATTTTCGCGTTTTTTTTCCAATGCAGTGCGTTACGTATTCGATATAGGATCAACAAAATTGACTTTTTATTTACAAAATATGATTACACACATAAGTATTACATAAAAAAAAACAGATTAATTAGTGGTCCTCCGGAACCCGGTAATGACCCCCGGTTCCGCATCCTCGTCCTCGCCTTTTCCGTGCTGGGTTTCGTCGCGTTTTCTGCTATGGCAGGGTCGATGGCCTAGCGAAGTCAATGCGTTTCGGATCCATGAAATCAGTCAGATTTCCATATCTAGAAGATCCGCTTTGGTACAGTCGGTTACCCATATCCTAAAAGTTTGGTCGTGTTGGCGGTGGGTGGGATTCCATGGTTGGTCTGTAGCACTGGTCGTCTGAGTACGGGGGTAGAAAGGAAATTGATCTTTTGGGTGTTTGGTATTGAGGATGTTGGGTGGTTTGGTGATATTGTGGTTGATGGTAAGTTGGGTCGGTTGGTTCATAATCTTCTGACATTCCCAGATCAGGGCTAAGGTTGGATGTTGAGGGGCCCATATTGGGATATGCAGAAGACTGAAATTGTGTGTGGAGTATGCGGGTGTGTTGGTATTGTGATTGAAATTACGGTTGGGTGTGAGTCATATGGGAGTATTAGGTACTGAGGTGGTGATTGTGGTTGGTTGTGGGGCATGTGGGTGTAATTGTATTGTGGTGGTGACTGTGGTTGGGTGTTTGTGGTTCTGTTTCGTTTGGGGGGTTGGTGGGAGGTTGATGTGTGTTGGGTTTGTTGTTGGAGAAATGAGGGTTATGCCCATTGTGTTCGTGGGTCAAACAAATACCTTGGATGAGACACGTGTATTTCAAGGATACTAATTGATCTGTACCAAGATAAATACCGATCTGTGTATCGCATATTACCATGATTAAGGAAAACCGAGAATTGCAAGACATGTCGGTGACGCCTCTGCCACATCTTACACCATTCTGGGGCAAAGTCTTTCCAGTTGGTAAGACCCCATTGGGCGTCGACCCTTTTGAGATGCCACTGGGACAAACAAGTCGGATCATTGGGTATCTCTTGATGCATTCTAAACTACATCTTCACATGGTCGATGTGGTGCATCTCCACAATATTGAATCGTATGATTGCAGTCTTGGCGCTCCAAATTGTTGCATCCTCGGGGTTTGGTTCATGGCCCAAACCCAAATATGGTCTCCAGACAAACTGCAGATAAAATTAAATCAGGTTAATAAAAACGTAATATATAAATAATTTTAAAGTGGAAAAGTTGAAAGGTACGACGTACATCATCCGAGCCAAGGTGATCCAATAGATTGTGGTATAGTGCGACATTGAATCTTGGATTCTTGCCGTAATCCATACCCCTCACGTAATACCTAAAGGAAATGAAAAATATTTTATTTTTATCATAAATTTGGTGAAGAGATGAATAGTAATAAATGATATAACTTGATGACTTACTTTGTTGCATACGGGAAAACGAATGTGTTGTTGTTGACGGGGTTTAAAGACTCCATCCTCCACCAGCCCCAGGCTTGAAGTATAAAAGCGCAGTCATAAAATGTATATTTTTCCTTGATTGCATTTTTACACAAGGAACTGTATAGGTGGGCTAAAACAGCAGAACCCCAACTATACTTTCAAGTTTTTTCGAAGTCTCTAAGTAAATTTAAATACATAAAATTTACACTATTTCCCGTACTTTCAGGAAATAAAAAGGTTCCAAATAGTATCATTATATAAGTTCTAGCTTTTATTACCTTGGCTAGCTCGGAGGAATTTTCATTTAATTCCAGAGTCGCATAATGATTTTTTAGCTCAGATAGTAGTATACCCTGATCTCTTGCACCACCACCTTCAACCATATCCCTGCCCAACAATTCTTCACACAGAGAGTTGGCCTCTACAACCTTCAAACCTTCAAACAGTCATACGCAATGGCCTCTGCATCCCAATATGTCATCAGTGCACATTTCAACGGTGAGACATATATTTGTCCCACCTCTGGGTTTTTGTTTAGAGACACAGAAAACATCTGATTTTGTTTAAACAGGAAAGCCAATTTCTTGTACTTCAAAAAACGATTGGAGGCCAAACTTGGACGAGGCCCCGTGACACAAATATTTTATCAGAATCCGGTTTTTTTAGTAACAACTAAATAATATTTTATAAGGTTGAGGTTCAGGATGACGAGGATCTTCATAATATGTTTTCCAGTCATGAGTATTCTGGGTACGATTCTATTGAGTTATACATTATGATGCGAGAGCCTCAGCAGTCACAAGTGGTTGATCCTTTGGAGATCGAACAAGCAGAAGTAGATGCAGTTGATGAAGAAGAAGAAGATGACGAGTTGGAGTTTGACGAAATGATCAATGATGATTCCGAAGACGATGGGATACCTGGTATTCCTGCAAATGAGATCTACACACCACATCCGCACATGACAAACTTCAACATGGGCGGAGATGAACCATCTTCTGATTTATTTTTCAATCTGTATATGCAGTCGGATGAAAACTTAAAAGAGAAAGACAAATTTCGTAACAGAGAAGAATGTATCAGAGCCATAAAAAAATTCCACATGCTCAACTCGGTCAATTTTAAGGTGGACCGTGTAAATCCAGATAGGTACAAGTTCAAGTGTGTCCACCCTGATTGTATGTTCAAGCTCACTGCAACATACAGATTAAGAGGTGATTGTTGGGTCATAAGTTCCATGTCTACCCACACTTGTGTCAGTTCTACTCAATCACAGGATCATCGAAAACTTAATTATGATCTCATTTATCAAGAAATCCTACCACTGGTCAGCAACGATCCATCATTGAAGGTGAAAACCATAATCTCCCACATCACTACGGTATTTAACTATACTCCGTCTTACCGAAAGGCGTGGTTAGCAAAGACCAAGGCGATTGAAAAGGTATATGGAAATTGGGAGGAGTCATACCAAGAACTTCCTCCTACCTGAATGCACTCCAGACTTATTATCCAGGTACTGTTTACTTTCTGGAAACACTGCCAGCATACGCCTCGGATGATAGTCAACTCAACAGAAATGGAATATTCAGTCGAGTGTTTTGGGCTTTTCAACCCTGCATCACAGGGTTTGCGTCATGCAAACCAATTATATAAATTGATGGGACTTGGTTGTATGGGAAATACAAAGGCACGCTACTGATGGCAGTTGCACAAGATGGCAACAACAACATTTTCCTAATTGCCTTTGCCCTAGTCGAGGGGGAGACTGGTGGTGCTTGGAGCTTTTTTCTCAAAAATATGCGAACATACGTGGCTCCTTAACCAGATCTCTTTTTGATCTCGGATAGACATGCATCCATTGAAAGTGCATACAATAATCATGCAAACGGTTGGCATGACCCTCCTTCTACGCATGTCTATTGCGTTAGACATATCATTCAAAATTTCACGAGGGAGATCAAAGACAAAACACTTAGGAAAGCGGTTATGAATGCGGGATATGAATTGACACAACCTACATTCAAATATTATCGCAACGAGACCCGTTTGTCAAATCCTGAAGCCGGTAGGTGGATCGACAATATTTCGGTAGAAAAATGGACTAGGTCATACGACAATGGCCAAAGATGGGGCCACATGACAACAAATCTAATTGAATCGGTGAATGGGGTATTCAAAGGCATACGAAACCTCCCGGTCACTGCTTTGGTAAAATCAACATATTTTAGGATGGCTTCGTTGTTTGCCAAAAGAGGTGAAATATGGAATGTAGTGTTGCAATCTGGACAACTATAGAGTGAAAGCTGCATGAAGTACATTAAGGCAGAAAGTGCCAAAGCCAACACCCATATGGTTATACGGTTTGACCGACACAGCCACAACTTCATTGTCAAAGAGACAATCGACCACAACGAGGGCCTACCAAGACAAGAATATAGGGTTGTACTACCTTCTCGTTGGTGTGATTGTGACAAGTTTCAAGCCTTTCGTATGCCTTGCTCTCATGTCAATGTCACGTGTGCCTATACTCATCAAGACGTGCTACAACTTCTGTCACACATTTACAAATATGAAACGTTGCTCAACATTTACAACAACAGCTTCCCTTTGGTAGCAAAACCAGATTATTGGCCTGCATACAACGGCAAAATAGTATGGCACAATGACCAAATGCAAAGGAATAAAAAGGGTCGTCCCAAAAGTAAGCGCATCACAACCGAAATGGACTCCCTTGACAAGCTGGAAAGAAAGTGTGGTTTATGTCACCAGGTCGGACACAATCGCAAAAATTGTCCGAATCGGGCTACTGCCTCAACCACATAAAAATTGTATTACATAAAATCTTTCGTTTATTATGTTGTAAACATTAGGGTTTTTCGTTAACAGTATTTGTTACAATAAACTTTGC